GGTTTTCTAACAATAATCCGTGATCTAGCGTATCGAAAGCCTTGCTCAAGTCTAGAAACAGTGCACATGAAACTTTACCATCATCCATGCCTGATATAATGGCATTGACGAGCAAAAGTTCGTGGCAGACAAGCCAGATCTTTTAGAAAAGATATGGGAAGGGTTGGTAGCAAAACTAAATTCTGTGGGAGGACCACAAAAAAAAAGTGTTCAGCAGTTCAGAGAGGTATGTGTAATTAATTAATCGCCCGAACACTTTTTTTAAAAATGTGTACTTTACTATAATTTATCGTACAACTATTAGCAATTATTCTGCTTACATCAACACTTTGTTCAAGACAAAGTGAATATCTTGTTTAGTCATGACCAATCAATTATGAGAACTGAGATGTTTAATCTTTATAAATACTGTTAACAATGAACCATAACCTTTGTGTTTTTTAGTACAACACCAAGAATATAACATAGGGCAATCTAATTACAATGTACTGCCTGGTAAGTAAACGTCGCTGTGTATTCCAGAGATTTGTAGATTGGAAATTCAATGTTTGAAAGAAGGCCAGAAATTTAAGACTATATGAAAGAGGAACTGTTTAATAATTTCATTATGTTGTAAAAAAATAATAAATACATTATTGAAAATGCTGTATTATTAAATTATTTCTTGTGATATTCCATTCATGTAGTAAATTGTGTTCTTCATATTCAAGTTCTTCTTTATTATCGTTCTCCTTGTCATAGACAATATTGATCTCATTTTCGATATTTCTTATGCGTAAGATGTTGTGTGAAACAGCACATGAGTATATAATTTTTCCTGTAACTTCTGGTGAATAATACAGAACTCTGTGGCAGTATTTCTGGGAATGCATCTCTCGCCGCTTCCCATTACAGTCGGTAGGTCTTCCTAAAGGTTTCTTCTGGAACGAAGAAGGGGTCGTTTACATCTCTTAAGAACCGAGACAAATTTCTCATTCTGTTCCTGCAGTAAAAAAAATATATAATAAGTTATCAACATAATCCAAACATACATTAATTACTTACATTTACCTTCTCTACCCAAAACGTTCCTCTTCATTGTATAAATACTTTTCTAACGTGTTGTGACAAGTCGCCCTTGAACAAAATCACAACAGCCGGTTGAGCTGCAGTGGACAAGTTATTTACGACCTTAAAACCTTTTCTATTGTAAATAACTTAACTTCGACACAATGGGATGATTTTTTGATGGCCATATAACCTTATAGCTTTTGGTCTACTTTATTATCAAGTACAAGGACAGTTAGCAGTAATAAAAAAAGCTGTTGTATTTTTGCCGTTTAGAGCCCCGAGGATATTCATACTATCATACTGAAAGTATTTTAAAAGACTCAGAATTCTGGGATACAAAAATGGACCCAAAACTGAGGAATTTTTATGTGAATTATACAATATACTACTTGAAGTAATATATTTTAAATCCAAAAGAAAATTACCCCTAAGAGAATAAAGAAACAACGATCAACAAAAATTATTCACTCGTTCGCACTGTCGAAGCAGGCTGCTTTTCTTTTTATCTCCTACATAGAATACGGAATGAGTGAGATGGTTGTATGTCCAACACTAGCCGGATTATTCTTTCATGGCTTTTGTTGGTGCCAGATTATTATCTCACATTGTTCCTTCCCATCCATAAGCTAAGGAAATATTGTAGTAAGGTCCACGGGTCAAATGACCACTTTCATGTTTTCTTTACGTTTTATGATTCTTAGAGTACCAAGAAATAGGTTTGCCGTTTACGTATGTCTGTCTGTCTGTCTGTCTGTCTGTCTGTCTGTCATCTGTGTTGATTTTTATTAGATAGATAATCTTCGATTATTTATTATTATTTTATTGTAGTATTGTTATTATTAGTACTACACTGCACCTATCCATATGGATATATTAAGTGTCCTTCCAAAAATGTTGATGACGTCAACAAAAAAATTTGTAATGGAAACATTAACTTCAAACATAAACATATCATGCTTCTTTAGCTTTATTTTAACATTATATACATATCTTTAATTTTACGTAAAAAAGTAATAATAGTTGCAAAATCAAGTGTTAGAATTTTCCGAAGAAGTTGGATATGTTGTACTGTGCTACAGGGACGAATTATTTTTAAATTTTCCGAGTAGTGGGATGTGAATCATCTTACTATATACACTTACCGGCAAAAAAAACGGCCAAATTGAAAAATTTCGCAAAATCAAACTTTAAAAGTTATTAATTTAACTAGTGATCGTTATTTTATTAAAGAACCATTCACTATTGACAAATGATGTATAAATTAGCAAAAAAAAAGAAGACAAATAAACGCAGAATTAAATTAAATTTAAGAAAACAGAAACAGAGCGACAATTGGAGAGACGTCTGTAAGAGTTAACGGCATTGTTTTCGCGTGAAAACGTTTATTAACTGCCTAACTTATAATCAAATGATGAAAAACACAACTTGATTTGTTTTTGTTATTTTGTTAAATTTAATTTAATTCTGCGCTTATATGTCTTCTATTGTTCAGAGCTGCAGGTGTTCGTTGGCGGCGAACCCTTTGTCCCCCGGCGAATGATGATTGCTTCCATTGGCGGTCGGTCTCTTTCATAAGACCGACCGACTGACTAAGGCAGCCGCCAGTCACACCGCCAACACCAAACATGTAATACCAAGTTGGTCAGCTGTTTCCATCAAAAACAAAGCCATGATTGTAATTAAAGCTGTTTAATTAATTCAGGTCCTTCGAAGCAACAAAGTCAAATATCCATAACACATTGGTTGTACGATACGAAACATCTTTTTTTGCTAATTAAATACAATATGTGTCAATAATGAATGGTGCTTTAATAAAATGACGATCACTAGTTAAATTAATAATTTTTAAAGTGGTTTTGCAAAATTTTTCAGAGTGGTCGGTTTTTTTTCCCGATTAGTGTAGATGGCGGAGTTATTTCGTTTTGGTATTTTATTCGTATAAGTTCTTCTAAATAAAAAACATGAACCTTTTAAAGAATATTTTTCATTTAATATATTTTTTTATGTTAAATGATTATTATGTATTATGTTAAATTTTAACATGTTAAATTGTACTCCCTCTGTCCGAAAATATGCTATACATTTTAGAAAATTACTATAATTAACGAGTGATGACTAGCAAATTATAATCAAGTAATTTTGTTTGCAACTTGTATAATAATGGAACATCATATAAATAGTGGACTGAGGTCTACGTTCGTTTCTGTTAAAAAAGTGACCAAGAAAATTACTACAATAACAACAAAATAAATAGACCCTCGCTGAATTAAAAAAATAAGAGATTTTAGAAGAATAATTAAATTAAATAAATTATTTGTTATAATAAATATATTATAATAATCTAATTTATTTAGTTGTTTTTATTTATTTATTTATTTATTTATTTATTTATTTATTTAATTTTAAGTATAAAATTCTTCATTTTAATAAATCCTAAATCCAAACTTCGTCGTGAGGGAAGGTTACCAACGAGATTGCTATGTTCTCCAGAGGCTCTAAATAAAATCCCATTGCATATAGATTGAAATGTATTGTCTTTATAATAGTATTACTAAATAAAGTTACAAATGTATATCATATTTTCGGACGGTGGGAGTGAGTAAAATTAATTTTTGTTGTCGACACGATGTTCCCCTGACTTATCCGTAACCTTGAGCCTTGAAGTGGTAAAATCTACCCCAGTCTAAAAGTTATATCTTTGCCGGCCGGCCCGCTTTCCTTCAGCTTTGTCTAACTTTGAAAGATTCCACGCATGCGCAATTGTACTATACTCGAATAGAGAACAACAGAGGTGATGGGCAAGGTTAGTTAATAGAGAACGAGTGGAAGGAACATACTGAAAAAAAATTGAAGTCATTTTATATGTTGAACGCCACATGCGGCAAAAGCACTTTAGGGAAAGTATACTATTATGAACGCCATAGAAGCAATTTAGACAAATTTGAGTCGAAATGTAAGTTAAGAACACCAAAATTAAGTGGGTCTATAAAAATTAATGGTGCATGTCCCTCGAGAATTCGCAAACAGACATACATTGGAAGTTCCAGGGTTTCAGTTACATTCACATCCACTCATTATGGTCATCAGCTTGAACTGAAATGTCAACCGTTATCTGCAACAGAGAAAACAACAATTATTAACCAAATCAAGAGTGGTGTATCTCAAAACCATATTGAAAAAGCGAGAGAAATAAACGAGGAAGGTGAGTGGAGCAGGTTAAATCTACTAACTAAAAAAGATTTATACTATATAGCAGACAAAAATAAGTTGAATAATCGAAGGCATAAATCAGATTTAGTTTCTGTGGATTTGAAAGTTGCAGAATGGAATTCTGGAGACAGAAAAAATGTAGTTATATATAAGAAGCCTGGAGAAAAATATGAAGGACTACACGATTCTGATTTTGTATTAGCATATATTAATAAGGAAATGGAATACATGCTACAAACGTATGGCTGCAACATTATATGCATGGACGGAACCCATGGCACAAACCCCTATAATTATGAACTAACCACAATTTTAATTTTAGATGACGAAAACATTGGTTACCCAACTGTTTTCTTCATAAGTAACCGAAAAGACCAAATAATTCAGGAAGTCTTATTGAAGGAATTAAAAAAGACAACATCAACTATAAGTCCTAAATATTTCATGTCTGATGATACAAATCTTTATTTTGATGCATGGACCAAAATCATGGGTAATTCTCCACAACGACTATTGTGCACTTGGCACATAAAAAAAATTGGACGATACAATCAAAAGCCAAAATTTCAAATAAAGAGGTGTGCAATAAAGTTCAAAAATATTTAGACAAATTACTAAAGGAGGTTGAAGAAAAAGAATTTTTAAGACTAACAGAAGAACTTTTTGATTACTTAAGGCAACAAAATGAAGAAGCATTTTTAAATTATTTACAAAAATATTACTTTAAGATAGGACAAGAATTGGTTCATGGGCCCATTGTTATAGATTAGAAACTTGGCTGGACATGTTGGACAAACTTTTAAAAGACAAGTCATGGAAACGTGTTGCATCAATTCTGTGCCCAACTTCATCTCACAAACATTTAGTTGTTAATAAAGCTCATAGGACAGCGATGTCGATGAGTTTTAAATTAATAGCAGAAAGCGATTCTAAAACATATTTAGTGCATTCACAAAACAAAATCGATTTCTATGAAGTAAAACTCACCAACCCTTCATGTGACTGTCAAAGGCTTCGTTGTCTCTTTTGCAATGTCTGTATTCATACATTCACCTGTTCATGTCATGAGTCCATTATTAAAAATAATTTTTGCAAGCACATGCATTTGGTAGCAATGTATATCAACATGACCAAGAGGAACAGCACACAGGACACAACAGAGGCAGAAACTGGAGAGCTCGCCATTGCCGAAGAGTCTGAAACCAACAAACGGTTGGAAGAGGAATTGGATACAAGGATTTCCGAAATGCAACAAAGATCGGATTCGGATGCAACTGTAGTATTAAAAAATCAGTGCCAGGAAATGTTTAATTTTATCCTAAACAAATGCAATACAATGACAAAATGTCAAAATTTACTGGAAAATTTAACAGATTTAAGCAGTAAGTTAGATGAAGAAAATAATACTCCAGTAATTCCAGTAGCTACTCGTAAAAGAAAAATTGACAAGCAGACATTTTTCCAAGGAAAAAACGGTAGTTTATGGAAATCAAAACTTTTGTTTTTTTTATCTTGAATAGAATAAAAATATACTTACCTGTTGTTATTTAAGATCATTAGTTTCTTTTTATTATTAATATTATTATATTTTCCCTTTCCTAATACTGTTCTTTTTTATAAATATGTCGCACTACTTTATTTGGTTATCCTATTTGACAGCATTTTGACACTACCCATCACCCATCACCTCTCTGTTCTCTATTCGAGTATGATACAATTGCGCATGCGCGGAATCTTTCAAAGTTCGACAAAGCTCTTTCCTTCGGCCTCCAGTCCCCACTCTGCTGCCAATACGTCAAGATACGGAGTTCGACGACGGTACCCGAACTAAGTTAAATCTTTCTGTGTACACCTTGACTACCGGTCACCTTGCCCCCCGAAAATGTTTACGTCCCTCAGAATGCACAGACGTCACAGTCCGAGAAACGAAGGAATGGCTTGACTAAAACCTCCTCTTAATGTTTTTCCACCAACGATATTGCGTCCATTGTTTTTGTATCGATACTTGGTCAAGTGTTTAACATACATTAATTCGACCGGTACATTTTGAGTATTCGAAAATTGACCCGTGTTTATAGTGGTGCATTAAATTAATTCAGCTTTTTGTGGTTTGTTTCCTTCTGAGTGCAAAATGAGTGATGATGAGAAAAAACTACATATACCGATTGTATTTATTGAAAAACTGAAAAGCACCGAAGAACAAAACGAAGCTACAGAATCTCACGATGAACCTGTTCTACTGTTGGAAGAATTGCCAGGAACATCGGCAGTTCAGAAGTGCGGAGAGAAGCAGGAGAGGTTGTAATTAACCCTTAACTTGGCAGAACCGGAAGAGACAATAAAAAAATTATCTCTCGACATTTTTGCACATATATGGAAGTCACAAAGCAAAAAAATCGCTCAGAATTATTTTCAACACAATCGTTTTTATTTATGACTATGTATCTCAGAAGATACATTGCCCGGTTTAGGGGGTACTGGACTGTATCTGTGGAGGATACAGCATAAATTCATCGAAAACCTGGCAGTGTGTACTGTGGGATACAACCACAATTTTAAGCATTCTTGGCGATGTATCTCCTAAGATACAACTAAATTTTTATGTTGCTGTGATCTAATTGTACTAAAATTGCAACAAAATCTGAGTAAATATAGATAAAAAATAATCAAACTAGACCCAGAACACCAAATTGAAACAACTGACGAATTTTTTACAAATATACTTATATTCATTATTTGACAGAATTAAAAAAAACATAAATAACATATAACAGATAAAATATAACATAATTTAAATAATAATTCATTTTCAAACTATTTCTTTTCTCAACAAAACAAAGTCTAACATTACACTTCACGCAGAGAACACTTGTTTGTCCCGTGGTGCAAAATCTGCAACGACCTTTGTTTCCAAAAACAGGGTAATGACTCATATCATCATAACGCACGTCGTTTACTGGCCTAGGAACAACCGGATTTTTAATTATCCTGGGACTTCTTGACTCTTCAGATTCGGAGTGCGAGGGTCGTCCAGGTCTTCTTAGCTTGAGATTTAAAGCGTATATAATTTCTAACCGAAATTGTTTGAGTGGCAGAATTTTCTGTTGACCACGCAATGCAGTTTCTCTCCTATACAAGAGCCACGCATTGTTCACGCATACATCCAACATTTGCGAAAATATGCTCATATACCACCGGTGCGTTTTGAAGTTGGTTCGGTACAGAGCAACTAACATATCGGCAAGGTCGACCCCACCCATATGGGTATTATAATGATGCACAATGGATGGACACGGGACTTCTATCTTTTGGTGGGCATTTTTATCGTATCTCTTTATAGTTGACAGAGGATATGCACTCACATACGAACTGCATAATGTCACTGCTTTATTATCCATCCACTTAACAATGACGACTTTTTTTGTATTATTAACCATTTGTTGATAAGATCCTCTGCCCTCTTTTAATAATTGTTTATCCGACTTCATTTCGCAGCCACGTGAACGATTTGAACGTAAAGTCCCCAACGAAAGTATGCCTTTATACTCTCTTAAATGAAAAACGAGCTCTGGAGAACAAAAAAAATTATCGAAATAAACTGAAGAACAAGCAGGTTCTCGAATATTCTTGCATAAAGCGAGAACCACTTTACCACTCATGCCAAATGTTTCTTCAGTTTCTTCGAAATTAATACTTTGGAAGGTTTCTTGTCCTGCGTAAATCAAAAAATCATATATGATTAACGAAACTCCGGCTATGGCGTACACTTTAAAACCCCACTTTTTTGGTTTTGCTTTCATGTACTGTCGTCTTGATCCCGCTCGAGTTCCTTTGTAAGGAATCATCATTTCGTCAACAGAAAATCTCTTTTCCTGCTCGATTAATAAACAATTTTGCCTAATTTTTTCCAAAAAAGGTCGGATTTTGAAATAACGATCGTTCTTAGTATCATTATTATTGTCAGCAAAATGTAAGTATCGTCGAATTGTTTGATACCTTTTAAGAGGCATTATATCTGCAACCCAGTGATTTCTTAGTTGTCGTGACCAATAATCTGTGTATGCTGGTAACTGTAGTATTTCCATATAGAGCTCTATGGCGATGAAATCACATATTTCTGCGTTATTTGTATTGATCGACGATCCAGTAGTTTGTTCAGAGTATATGTTGGTGTTCTCGGCAATTAAAGTTATTAAATCCTCATCGAAATAACGTCTAAAATAATCGTATGGTGTGGGTGGTTGAATCAAAACTGGAGAGAATTTGCTTTCAAAAATTGTTACAGGAAAAATAAATTCGTCTTCCTTCCATTTAAATTCAAGTTGTTTAACTTTGGGTATTTTTCTTTTAACCGAAGTCTTCTTCACTACTAAACAAATAGGCTCATCAGGATTAGTGGTTTCTTCTACTTTCTCTTCGTCGGTTAATGCTCCAAAAACTTCATTTGTATCGTCTTCAATATCTACATTTTCATCATCTTCAAAACATTGAGAAGGAAAATTAGCACCGAATTCTTCTTTATCTTCATCAGCAAAAGACACAGAATTCAGAGGCGTTAATTCTGCGGTAGGATCCAGTTCTTCAGATTCCACAAAATCGACTACACGTGCGTCTGGTGCTTTGGGAGAAATAAATGAATATTCATCGTTATCTTCGATTTCTGAATCCATATTTGCATCCGGGACAAAAATACATTCGTCTACCTGAGCTTTTTTTGCTAATTCTAATATCATTCTTGTTCTCGAATTCATCATAGCAACTGAAAAATAAAAAAAATTATTTATAGCAAACTATTGTAAAAATACTTACCAAGGATAGTAATCAAGGCAAAAAAAAACACTTAATAAAGTTTTCACAAGTAAAACGTTGAAAGGCGCACTGCTTTGAACATTCAGAGAGAACTGCTCAAACGAAACTGAAAAAATAAATGCAAAACTAGTAATAAATGACTGACCATTTCACTGAACCCGCCCTTACGAAGGCATAATGGGAGATAGGTAATATTGGCTGATATTTATTACAGCTAAAAAATTAACGGCTACTCAGCCATTTTCATATAGTACAAATGTCATTTATTTGTCAATAATTTAGTATAATACAAAAACGGATAACAATTAGTTTACTTATTTATTTTTTTGACAGTGGTTAATAAACTACAGTGATGTACTCAATCAACTACTGAGTAGGCAACTTTTTTAATGTATATATTTAAATATACATGTAATATAATAAGAAATATAATATATGTATGTTTAATATTAAAATACATATTATTATATGCACTTTTGTTTTTTAGAGTTAACTTTCTGCTCGATACTGCATAAATCAAAGTTGAATGGCTTTTAATACACGAGTGTTACTTTACTTTTAATGTACTACGAGTACCGTTCCAAGTTAATTGGCTCATCTGGTAAAATTTGAGTTAAAATATTATGTTAATATATATGATAATAATCAAATGCCGCTCTACTCATTTTTTAATTCTTAATGTTAATTTTTTTATAGAGAACGAAAATAAGAATTATTCAAAATTGTTTTGTCTACATCTATTTATATGTCAATAAACTTAAATAAATACGTAGTTATATTTTCGGTCGTAACACTAAAACAAATTATTAATTGGTAGATTGCATCAATCACATATAACATAAATCAGTACTCAGAATATCAGTGCATAATCATATAAATGGATTAAGACACATATAAGGTTCCAACATTTACGGCTTTTGCATCTAATTTGCTGTGGAAAAAACACAGAAAAAAAGCAAGATAATATTAATGCTTTTAAAGCATATTCAAACGTTATGGTGCGTTTTACAGATATCTACACAGTCTGGAAACTGTAACAAACTTACCAAACTATAAAAACACAGTTGACACACTATCAAATTTAAATGAATTATGAAAATATTAGCCTTGACTATTATGAGAAAACCGGCTAGTTGTCAAACGCTGCCATCTTGATGACCTCGGATGACGTCAGTGTATTTGGCTAATTGTACCTACTGTACTGCAAAACACTGGTTAATTTTTAGCTACCCCTTGCATTAAATTACATAGTGTAAAATATAAAGAATATTATAAATTCAAACAGCAATAAAAAAAGACAAAGTTTTTGTAGTGAGAAAATTATGTAATAAATAGAAATGAAAATACGAATTTATAATAAATCCAAAATTTGTGTCATTATTACTATCAAACATAATTAAAAAAATAGACTTGTCGGTATATATTATTTAATTTATTACAAAAATTGTGTGAAATTTGCTGTATGTTGTTTTTTTTTAACGCAAAAAGCCTAAATTTGCTTTATGAATGTTGAAATTGGAGCCACAATTTACATCGGACCTGTCAAACTGCACTTAATTTCCGAATTTCTTCACTATTTACATATAATACAACTTTTTGAAATGTCTAAGAATTAACTGATCAAAGCAAAACAATTTGTTAAATCATATTTTAGAATTATAAAAATCTAATTTGGAAGGAAAATATTTTCAGTTGCTCTTAAAAAGAATTAATCATGATATTTTATTAACTACGTGATTAATTACTTACCCAACTATTAATTTAATACATGGATTATTTTGGATGCAGAAGGGAATTGAGTTATTTTTATTAGTATCTACTTTTAAATGTTTACAATGATAATAAATAACATTTTAATACCTATA